GAGCATTGACCCATGCACCAAGAGGTCACCGGTTCGATTCCTGGTCAGGACACATGCCCAGGTTGTGGGCCAAATCCCCAGTGGGGGGCATACAGGAGGAGGCCAATCGATGTTCTCTGTCATGGATGTTTCTCTCTCTCTCTAAAAAAAAAAATCAATAAGGGAATAAAGAAATAAAAAAAGAAAAAAGAATTCATAAAAATGAGGATAGTGTAAGGAGCCTCTGGGACAACTTTGAGCGTACCAATATTTGCATCATGGGGGTGCTGGAAGGAAAAGAGTGATAACAAGAAATTGAAAACCTATTTGAAAAAATGACAAACTTCCCTAACTTGGTGAAGGAAACAGACATATAAGTCCAGGAAACACAGAGTCCCAAACAAGAAAAACCCAGAGGTCCACACCAAGACACATCATAATTATGTTGGTGTGTGTTTTATTGATTTTTTTTTTTAGAGAGAGACAAGGGAGAGAGAGATAGAAACATTGATCGGCTGCCTCCTGCACACCCCCTATTGGGGATTGAGCCTGTAACCTGGGCATATGCCCTGACCAGGAATTGAACCAGGACTTCTCAGTCCATGGGATGATACTCAATCCACTGAGCCATATCGCTGGGCAAGACACATCATACTTAAAATGCAAAGGTTAAAGACAAAGAGAGAATCTTTTTTTTTTTTTATCCTCACCCGAGGATATTTTTCCATTTTTTGTACAGATAGAGTGGGAGGGAGAAAGAGGAAGAGAGAGAGAGAGAGAAACATCGACGTGAAAGAGACACATCGAGTGGCTGCCATCCACATGACCAACCAGGGCTGGGGACAAACTGCAACCGAGGTACATGCCCTTAGTGGGAACCGAACCCGGGTCTCTCCAGACCGCAGGCCGATGCTCTAACCGCTGAGCCAAACTGGCCATGGCCAAAGAGGGAATCTTAAAAGCAGCAAAAGAAAAGCAGTTAGTTACCTACAGGGGAGCTCCCATAAGACTGTCAGCTGATTTCTCAAAACAAACTTTGCAGGCCCGAAAGGAGTGGCAAGAAATAGTCAAAGTGATAAAATCACTTTGGACCTATAACCAAGATTACTCTATCCTGCACAACTATCATTTAGAATCAATGGACATAGAGTTTTCCAGACAAGAAAAAGCTAAAGGAATTCATCACAACCAAACCAGTATTATATGAAATGTTGAAGGGTCTTCTTGAAAAAGAAGACACAAAATATGAACATTACAATGACAATAAATACATATCTATCAACAATTGAATCGACAAACAAAATAAACAAGCTGAACAGAAAGAGGCCCCGGCCGGTTTGGCTCAGCGCTTAGAGTGTTGGCCTGTGGACCAGAGAGTTCCAGGTTCGGTTCCCACTAAGGGCACGTACCTCAATTGCAGTTTGTCCCCGGCCCCAGTTGGGGTCGTGTGGGTGGCAACTACTCAGTGTGTTTCTGTCACATCGATGTTTCTCTCTCTCTCTTCTTCCCTCTCTCCCTCCTGCTCTATCTGAAGATAAATGCAAAATGTCCTGGGGTAAGGATAAAAAAAACACACAAAAGCCCTGGCCAGTTTGGCTCAGCGGTTAGAGCGTCAGCCTGCGGTCTGGAGAGACCCGGGTTCGGTTCCCGCTAAGGGCACGTACTTCGGTTGCAGTTTGTCCCCGGCCCTGGTTGGTCGTGCGGGTGGCAGCCACTCGATGTGTCCCTTCACGTCGATGTTTCTCACTCTCTCTCCCTTCCTCTCTCTCCCTGCCACTCTATCTGTACAAAAAATGGAAAAAATATTCTCGGGTGAGGATAAAAAAAAAAAAACAGAAACAGACTCACAGATACAGAGAACTTTTTGTTGGTTGCTTTATGGAAGGAGGTTTGGGGTGGGGGGGGAGATAGGTGAAAAAGGTGAAGAGATTAAGAAGTACAAATTGGTTGTTAGACTAAAGAACCTCAGAGGAAAGGGGGAAGGTGGGGCAGGAAGAGATAACCAAAGAACTTATATGCATATATGCATAACCAATTGACACAGAAAATAGTCTGGGGAAGACAGGAGGGGGGCAAGAGCAGGGAGGAGGGGGGTGCATGGGGGGACAAAAGGGGAGCATCTATAATACTTTCAACAATAAAGATAAATTAAAAAAAATTTAAGAATAAAGTGTACAATTAAGTGGTTTTTGGTACAATTTACAATGTGTACAAAAAATTGCTAATTCTGCCCTGGCCGGGTTTCTCAATGGTTAGAGCATTGGCCCATGCACCAGTCATGGGTTCGATTCTGGTCAAGGGCACATACCTTGGTAGTAGTTTGGTTCCCGGCCCTGGTCGGGGTCATGCGGGAGGCAACCAATTGATATGTCTCTCTCTTTTTTTTTTTTGATATTTTGTTCAGATAGAGTTGGGGGAGAGAGAGAGAGAGAGAGAGAGAGAGAGAGAGAGAAACATCGATGTGAAAGGGACACATCCAGTGGTTGCCACCCTCAGGGCCGTGGACAAACTGCAACTGATGTACGTGCCCTTAGCAGGAACTGAACCCGGGTCTCTCTGGACCACAGGCCAACACTCCAACCGCTGAGCCAAACCGGCCAGGGCTGATGTGTCTCTCTTACATTGATATTTCTCTCTCTCTCTCCCTTCCACTCTGCCTGAAAATAAATGGAGAAATATCCTCAGGTGAGGATTAAAACAACAAAATTACTAGTTCCAACACATTTTCATCACCCACAAAACAAACCTTGCACTTACTATCAGTAACTTGGTCAACCTATGTTGCAGAATATGTCAGTACTTTCTTTTTTTATTGCTGAAAATTATATAGATATACTATATCTTGTTTATCTGTTCATCAGTCATTAGTTAATAGACATCTGGGTTGTTTCTACTTTCAGCCATCATAAATAATGCTGCTATTCATGTACACGTTTTCGTGGGAACATATGTTTTCATTTCTCTTGGGTTTATCCTAGGAACAGAATTACTGGATCATATGACAATTCTATGTTAAAATTTGAGTGACTGCCAAACTGCTTCCAAAGTGGCTAAGCAGCTTTTTCAATGGTTAATGACAGTTTTCCTCCTTTGTGGAATGACTTTACAGCCTTTGCCTTCATCTTTTGTCAGTTGGTAGATGTTCTTTGTATGTTGGGAATGACTAGTTCTTTATCTGGCTTTTTACCATTATTTTCCAGTCTATTTCTTGTTTGACTTTATTAATAGTTTTTTTTTCTCTTTTTAATCATAACACTTCATTTATTCTAAACATGTCTCCATATTTTTATTTTGTGTTGAACTTTCAAATTTTACAATAGGATTCACACCGTTAGCTGCTTTACTTTTGCAAAATGAACTAAACACTTCTCTTTGATTCCAACAATTAGATGAAAAATTTTGAATGCTTATTAATATTGTGTTTCAAGTTTTTAAAAACTGTACTGTCATACTGCTTTTTATTTTAAGGCATCTGTTTCCTGTTTTGCTTCAACATTAATAATATTCTCTTAAGAGTGCTTTTATTGATTAAATTCCATTTTTTGTCTGTGGTATAAGGACAGGAGTCTTTTTTTCAGGACAGTTTTACACTAAGTTGAAATGATGTAGGTTCCCATGTATTTTGATCACTTCTGGCACTTACTAGTCTTCTCTACAGCTATATTTATTTACTCTTAGTTCAAACAGCTTGGATTAAAGGAGGTTTTTTAAAGTAATTCTAATGTCTGGAAAGGAAGGTATTTTTTATTTACAAAAAAAGTTTGGTGCCACAGTTTTGACACTAGTCACTCTATAAACTTTTTCTGCCAAGGGTCATTTGGATATTTATAACATCGTTCTCGGACAATACAAGATTATCAACTTTAAAATTAGCCTGCTAGTCCTGCCAGTGTGGCTCAGTGGTTGAGCGTGGACCCATGCACTAAGAAGTCCGGTTGGATTCTGGTAAGGACACATGCCTAGGTTGTGGGCCTGAACCCCACTGAGGGTCATGCAGGAGAGGCCAATCAATGTTCTCTCTTATCAATGTTTCTCTCTCTCCCTCTCACTTCTTTCTCTCTAAAATCAATAAAGGAAAAATAAATAAAATTAGCCTGCTATATCTGCTCTGGCTAATTTGGTGAGGCAACTGAGTCATCTCTAGGAAGGTTTAAGAAAAGCCATTCATTTATATTCTTACTTTCGTTATCCTTCTGGTGGCAGGTGTGACAGAGGAATAAGACAATCCCCAGGGTTACCCTAACCCTGATCAGCATATAGGAACTGACTATGGGAACAAAAGAGAAAAGACGCTGTTAGGCGACGGTGAGAAATTGAAATTGTGGACGGAAACGGCGACGGTCAGAGTAGGACAACTAGAATTTCTTCTAAAGTAAGATGGCCAGAACACAGTGTTTAAATTGGCAAGCAGGGGAGAGGAGGGTCGCCAGGCTCTGACCTACTGGCCACTCCTGACGGAAGGGACAATTGTAAAAGGATCCAGGACCTGGCAGAAGCCTGAACCACTCCATTTGCCGCCTTCTTAATCCTTTGACCCAACCCGGATGCTGCAACCACAACTGCGGTGGCCTGGAGCAAACCTTCCGGTCCCAGAGACAACCCCGCTTCCGGTGGAGCCTCAGCTCTGCCCCGCCCCAACCGCCACGCCTGGAGGCCTTCCATTGGCTGATTGGAGCTGGACCACATTTCCCAGCAGGCCCCCGAGTTAGCCGGTAGCAGGAGTCGTGCTAACCCGTCATGGAGGGTTGGTGCCTGCCTTCTGCTTTCCGTTTTCCAGGCAGAGTCACAGAGAGAGCGGCTGCCTCCAGCGTGGCCTCCCTCCGTCTCTGAGAGCTCCGCGGGTCAGCCTAGAGACTCGCCCCCTCAACTGCAGACTGCCCGCTCCGACCAGGGAGACCAGGTTATCACACCGGAAATAAGGCACCGGGCGTGACGTCACGGATGATGAGGCGCCCGGCCTCCCACAAGGCACCGCGTTCCTGCCGTCTTCCCTAACTGATAGCTCGGTACACCAATAGTCTCCTGCAGCTTGTGCGGACACTCCCAAGGGCGAGGGGAGGGCTCGGCTTCTCGCGCCTAGTTTCCCGGTCTCTCCTGGAGCCCGGGTCTCTGGGCTGCCCTCAGCGAGCGCCCAGGCTGGCAGAGCCTCTGAAAGGTGAGGTGCTCCGCGAGGGCGTGAATCATGCTTGAGGCGGCCTCTGGGGCACCTCCGGGTAGCGGAGCGTGGTCCGTTGTTGGAGGAGCCTGGCCGGATAAGGAGCCGGTAGCGGGCCCCAGGCAACGCCCAGGCCGGGTTTTGCGCTAAAGGTGGCTCCTGACCGGCGGGAGAAGTTCTAGTGCGGGCCAGGACCGGTGGCCCAACTGGCATATCCTCTGCCGCTTTCCACAGGGCTTTCTCAGTGTAAAGGAGTCAGCAGGCCATGTGGGGACGCCTCATGAGGCCTTGCGTTTGCTCCTTGAGCCATCAGCTGTTCCCTGAAGTTACCCGAGGGGACCTGTGGTCAGATTCAGTGACAAAGATGACTGACTTTTATGCAGATCCGCTTGGTATTGGTTCCAAGATTTCCTGTCTTCTGGTCCACTGCTCAACCAGCATGCGTTAAACACTTTTTCCCAGTGGAGTTTGCACTTTATATTTCTTAGGAGAATGGCCCTTGCCTGTTGCCTTCCATTCGGTCCTTACGGTTTGGGCATCTTCTGGCTTTCATTCTCAGGAACTTCCTGAAAGGCCTTGCTAAGAGTATCCATTTCGGTTTTGAGTTCCCTCCCCTAGCTTATCTTTTCTTTCTGCCTTAGATCTCATGTAGTGTCATTACCCAAGCCACATATTGGAGTGTAGGCACGCCCTACCAGATCTTGTGGGTAACCCATGATTTCTCTTGTCTGCGACTTTCTGACAGATTTCCTTCAGTAAAGAGGTGGCTTTTGAAGTCCTACAGAAACGAGTGTGGTGTGTGATTTCAAGGCACGATGGCTGCGAAAGTGTTTCCTATGTCTCCAAAGCCAAAGCAGTCCTTTATACTGAGAGTTCCTCCAAACTCCAAGCTAGGCCAAGACCTACTTCGAGATGCTACTAGTGGGCCCAAGACCATCCACCAGCTGGTTCTGGAGCACTTCCTCACCTTCTTGCCCAAGCCAGGACTAGCCCAGCCCAGTCAGAAAGTCAAAGAAACCTTGGTTATCATGAAAGATGTGAGCTCAAACTTTCAGAACAGAGGTAAGAACACTTTTCTGTTTCACTAGAAGATAAGGGGATGGTCCTGGGGGGCTGAAATAGGTTTCCAGGCTAGTAACGAATCCCAATTAGGATGGTGGATTTTGAGAAAAAGAGTTGATTTTAATAAGTCAACATGTTGGGGAGAGAGAGTATTTTTTTCTCAAACTGAATCTTGAGTGGTTTGATGGGTGTGGGTAAGACCATAGAATAAACAGTGTGCGTCTTTTCTGTAGCATCAATTTCCCACAGTTGGAGTAGGAGATATCTTTTTTTTTTTTTAATCCTCACCCGAGGACATTTTTTCTATTTTTTGTTCAGATAGAGTGTGGGAGGGAGAGAGAGAGAGAGAGAAACATTGACGTGAAAGGGACACGTCGAGTGGTCGCCACCCACATGACTCAACCAGGGCCGGGGACAAACTGCAACCGAGGTACATGCCCTTAGTGGGAACCGAACCCGGGTCTCTCAGGACCGCAGGCCGACGCTCTAACCGCTGAGCCAAACCGGCCAGGGCGGAGATATCTTTTTAGAATAAATAAATGTGGATGAATTATTGAATTGATTTCAGTTTATGTGGTGGTTTAGAGAGTTTGTGCTTGCCGTGGGGATCTTCAGAGTTTACCTTCCTCCAACCTCCTCTTTAATAGTAGTTATGGAAGTTTTGAAAGGTACTTAGAGGACTCATTCTTTTCATAATGAGGAGACCCTGTGTGATAGGTTCAAGACACTGTGGTTTATGGCTTGATCTCTGACTGGGCTCACAGAAACAGAAAAAGCTCTGAGTTGCCTGCCAAAGGAGTGAGGACCATCTGGCCTCAGGGTGTGGGTAGAGTCTTCATATTAGAGTCACTGATTTTTTCAGTAACTACAGCTGCTTCTTCCCCAGTACAACCTCATCCCTTAGTGAAGCTTCTGACCAGAGAAGGAATCCAGCAGAAACAGGAGACAGTATCTCTGTGCTTGAAAGCTGAGCCTGAGGTGGGTTTGGTTTTCCCCATTCATTGTTGAGTACATCACCTTATCTGCTCATGCAGTCTCTCTCCTCTCAGCCAACCTTTGTATAAAAACATAGTCTTGGAAATCAGAATGGGACATGTTCTTCACTGCATCCTTGGATATTTTTCTTCTGTTTTTTCTCTGGCTCCTCTGTGAGCCTGGCTTTCCTGACTGGCTGCATCTGTGTGGGGCTTATAAATCCCTTTCACCATTCCTTCCCTGATCTTTGGATTTCAGTCTTTCTTATCAACAGGGCTGTCAAGAAACCTCTGTTACTAAGAGGAAGGGGGGCCTGTTGCTCTTTCAGGAGCTGGTAGTCTTTGAGGATTTGAATGTATTTCATTCCCAAGAAGAATGTGTGAGCCTGGATTCTACTCAACAACCCACCTCAGAGAAGGAAGAAGACAGTGTTGGGGAAATGATGTTAATGGGTAAGAAAATCAAGTCCTTTGCGTGTTCAAATGGAATGCTATGGGAAAATCATATTCTACTTCATCTCAGATTTTTTCGAGACACCATCCACACCAGCTAAGCACATGTTTACATATTATCTTGTCCCATGTGCCAGAGCCTGCTTCAGCTGTGGGTGGCCATTTTTCCTGTGTCTTGGGGGCAGTGAGGGTGGAGGAGCCTTGGTAAGCAAGAATTACAGCTGATGTACTAATATTAAACTTTCAAACAGATAGTAGAAAATGCTGGCAGACTGCTTTTTAATCCATTTTCTGGATCCAATGCTATTCTCCCAACAGGTGTGTGTGTGTATTTTTTGGTATGTGCCCCTAGCTGCTAGGGCCTAGCGGGAACTGAACCCAGGACTCTCTGGTCCACAGGCCAACACTCCAGCCTCTGAGCCAAACCGGCCAGGGCCCAGCAGGTATATTTTAAATTAGTGGCTTCATTGGACACATGACAAACTCTTAAGTTTTTTTTTCCCGAAGTTCAATAGCTGTGAAGCCTACCTAGTATAAATGAAAATATATCCAGCTATTGCTGGAAAATAATATCTAGGACTGATTAAACACTTGTGTACCTTTATGTGCTAGGCACTAGTCTAAGTACTTTGCATGCATTTATTATCTCTCGTAATTCTCACAATTGTATTTTGGGGTATAGGAGTTATTACTATTTTACAGATGATGAAATTGGAACAGAGAAAAGTTAAGACATTTGCTAAAGGTCACACAGCAGGAGGTAGTGGAGCAGGGATTTGAACTCTGGGACTCTAACATCAGATCTTGTAGTCTTGGCCCAGAGCTGTACTGCCTTCTTGCTGAATTTCTCATTAATTTTGTCAGAATTTTCTATATGGTTGGTGAAGTCCTTCTTCATTTGTACTCATTTCCCAATAATGGTTAAGAAGTATCCTCAGCCCTGGCCGGTTTGGCTCAGCGGTTAGAGTGTCAGCCTGCGGTCCACAGAGTCCTGGGTTCGGTTCCCGCTAAGGGCATGTACCTTGGCTGCAGTTTGTCCCTGGCCCTGGTTGGGTCGTGTGAGTGGCGGCCACTCGATGTGTCCCTTTCACATCGATGTTTCTCTCTCTCCTTCCCGCTCTATCTGAGTAAAAAATGGAAAAATGTCCTCGGGTGAGGATAAAAAAAAAAAAAAAAGTATCCTCAGTGCTACATATGAACTCATCTGGCAGCAGCTTAATCTTAGAGATGCTTCAGCTTTTCTCAACTCTTTCTTTTTTTTACCTAGTACTTTTTACTTGATTTCAGGGCTATTTGCTTCTGAGGCTGAAGTTGAGCAGAGAGTGGTTTTGTGAGTTGCCTACAGTGACAAGATCGATAATGACTATTGAACTCTGTAATTTTCTTACACATATGGTCAGGGTAGTGGTACATAACGGTCCAGGTTAACTTCTCACAGATTGTTCTGTTATATTTTCTTTATTTTAGGGAAAAGTATAAACAGATAAGATCTATTACATGAATATTTCCTGAGTCTTGGGCAAAGCTAGCATTTATTTTGGGTGACTCGTTGGTTATTATGTTGCCAACACCAGGAACACTTTGGCCATGCACCTTGAGGTCTGGCGACCCAGTACTCACCCTGCCCTCCTTTGCCTATACCCTGAAACTAATTATTTAAGCTTAGAGTCAAACAATAAATAACAAAGATATACACATGATTTTTAAAAACACTTAAGTCGTTCACCCATATTTAGTAAATGCCACCTGTTTTTCCCTCAGGCAGGGTTAGGTTCTGAAGTTGATTAAATGATACATATTGCTCCATTCCTGTCTTTCAGGAGTTTCCAGTTTGTTTTGTGAGATAAGTCATTTACAAAGAAAGATAAGCATTGTGAAACCGTTATAACTATAAAGAGGTACAACAAGGTTGAGACAGAATTTGGACCCAAGACCAGAGTTTGGAAGAAGATGGATTTTATTTCCGTAGCAGGAAATAAAACAAGATTATCCTCTGGGCACTTGGACATTGAGGATTGGAGGTCAGATGTAAGGATATAAAGGTTTGGGAGTCATCGGCATACAGCTGATGGTTGAAATAGTAACATTTGGCCAATTTGCAAAGGGAAAAGTGTAAGGGAATGAACTCGATGGCTTTAGGAATCAAAGAAGAGCTGTTGATAGAGGAGGATGTAATGTGTGTCTCCGTCCAAATGAACAAAATGAAAACAATTAGAAATGTAGAACACTTAAATTCTCAGTGAGATGGTTCTTATGGTTATATCTACCTCTACTGTGGTGAGAGAATGTATCTTTACAAGATTGATACACGTTGACTACATGCCCTGCAACAAAGAAAGATTCGGTGGATTCCAAAGAGTAGAAATAACACCATAGGATCTGTCCAGTACAACTAGAAATTAATAATGAAATAGGAGGGGAAAGTTCCATTTGGAAATTTTTAAAACTATTAATTTTCCATGGGTCAAAGGGGAAATACAAATTAAAATAACAGAATTTTTCCAGAAAATACTATGTATCACAATCTATGATATAGCCTATAGTGGTACTCAAAAGAAAGTTTGTGGCTGTGAAAACATGTATGTTAACTTAGAAAAATGAAAGTAATTAAGCCTCTGGCTCAAAATTAGGAAAACAACAAGATAAAGGAAAACAAAGTATTAATAAATACTAAATTAGAAATCAATAACTTAATAGAGAGAATAGAGGAACTAATAAGTAGAAAGATTTAAAAACAAATACACTAATTTCTACTGAGCAAATTGAAATTTTCAAAAATTAGCCCCTCCATCCCAAGAAAAAGGACCAGCCTTAGTTTCACAGAAAATTCTTGTACATCCTTAAAAATTGGACAGTTAAAATGCTATGAAAAATTCCAGAGTCCAGAAAAAAATTTTCAAATTTTTTTTATGAAATTAGTGTAACAGATACCACAGCCTGATAAAAACTACTGTGACCAAGTAAGATTTATTCCAGGAATGCAAAACTGATTTAAACACTGGCTGGTTTGGCTCAATGGTTAGACCGGCAGCTCTCTGACTGAAGTTTAGTGGGTTCAATTTGCGGTCAAGGGCATATACCAGGGTTGCAGGTTGAATCCCCAGCCCCAGTAGGCAACCAATCAATATGTTTCTCTGACATCAGTGTTATTCTCTCTCTCTCTGTCTTTCTCCCTCCCTCCCTTTCACTATCTAAAAATCAATGGAAAAATATCCTTGGGTGAGGATTAACAACAACAACAACAACAATTGATTTAATACTAGAAAGTCTGTTAATCTGTCTTATAATGAAAAGGAGAAAAACCCAAGATTGTTTTCATAGTTACTCAAAAGGTATTTGACTAAATATAAACACGTGCTTTGTAAGAACACTTAACAAAATAGTATTTAATGAATACTTCCTTAATGGGGTACTTATCTTTTCAGTCAACACATCTTAACAGGAAATAATGGGAAACATTCCCACTAAAGTTAGGAATACAACAGTGAAGCCCACTGTCACTACTTCTGTATTTAATATTGTATTTTGGGTATTAGTCATTGCAGTTAAATGAGAAAGAAATCAGATGTATAAGAATTTAAGAGAAAGATAAAACTACATATATTTACATGAGTTATAATTGTGTAGCTGGAAAACCTTAGAGAATGCTCTTATAAATAAGAGCATTTAGTATGGCAGTGGGATGTAATATATTACAGTATATGAAAACCATTAGCTTTCATATATGCAAACATAATCATTTAGAAGATATAGGAACAAAAGACATTAAACACCTGGAAATAAATTTAAGAAATGTGTAAAAATTAGGAGGAAAACCTTAAAACATTTCTAAAGGACACAGAGATAGACTTGAGTGAATGAAAAGAAATACCATGTTCTTGGCTAGGAAGATTTAATTTTTAAAAAAATGATTTTATTGATTTATTTTTTAGAGAGGAAGGGAGAGAGAGAGAAACATCGATGCGAGAAAGAAACATCGATCGGCTGCCTCCTGCAAGCTCCATACTGGCCATCGAGCCTGCAACCAGGCATGTGCCCTGATTGGGAATTGAACTGGGACTTCTCAGTCCATGGGACAGTGCTCAATCCTCTGAGCCACACTGGCCAGGAATTGGCTATGAAGATTTAATATATAAAGGTCAGTTCTCCCCAGGTTGATTCAAGAATCCAATGTAATCCCTTTAACAATACCAATAGGATTCCCCGCCTCACTCCCAGAATTAGACAATCCGATACCAAATTCAGATAGAAAAATAAATACAAGTAACCAGGAAAGTTGAAAAGAACAGTGGGACAGGAGGGGTTCTAGCCCTATCAGGTGTTAAAGCAGCTTCTAAACCTAAAGCCTGCGTATGAAAATAGTGTAGTATTGGTATTTCAGTAGACAGACCAATGGAAAGGAATGAAAAGTTCAGAAATAGCCTCAAATACATTGGGGATTTAGTTTGTGATAAAGGTGGAATCTCCAGTCAGCAAGGTAAAGAGAAAATTTTTTTTTTATCCTCACCCGAGGACATTTTTGCATTCATCTTCAGGTAGAGCAGGAGGGAGAGAGGGGGGAAGAGAGAGAGAGAAACATCGATGTGAGAGAGACACATCGAGTGGTTGCCACCCACATGTCCCCAACCAGGGTGGGGACAAACTGCAACCGAGGTATGTGCCCTTAGCAGGAACCGAACCCGGGACTCTCTGGCCCGTAGGCTGATGCTCCAACCACTGAGCCAAACCATCCAGGGCAAGAGAAACTTTTTGATAAAGGATGTCAGCACAACTCAGTAGCCATTTGCTGAATCATACCTTACTTTGTACACCAAGAAAAAGTCCAAATGAATCACAGATTTATTTTTTATTTTTTTGTTTTTATTTTTAGCAGGAGGGAGAGGGGGGAAGAGAGAGAGAGAGAGAAACATTGATGCGAGAGAGACACATTGAGTGGTTGCCACCCACACGACCCCAACTGGGGCCGGGGACGAACTGCAACCGAGGTATATGCCCTTAGT